GTAATTCTACATTTTAAAAATTTTTACTTATTTATTTTTTTTAATTTGAGTTTATCGGGGTGACAATTGTTAGTAAAAGTTACATAGGTTTCAGGTGTACAATTGTGTAGTACATCGTCTATACATCACATTGTGTGTTCACGGTAATTCTACATTTTAAGTAGTGACTGTTGACATGCAAAAAAATTTACCGTCTTAACCATCAGAGAGCCACGGGGACCCAGTTTATGTTAAGAAAAGAACAGGTTGTTCTTTTCCTGACGGCCATTTACCACGCTTCTCTTTAGCTAGGGCAACGCTTTGTTACTTTCCAGAATGGCCCATCTCCTAGTTTTCCTGTGTGGGTTACATGAAAGATTGAAGCTAGTATCCTATTGAAATAAAGTGTCCCCTCAAGAAATCGTACTGACTGGCCATGTCTGTCAGACACTTGGAACACTTAAAGCACCAACTCTGAAATAAAAGAAGAGTACAGTTTTATGAGTTTATGATGAACGCTGCTGAACCCGTCACATTTGGGAAATTCTGTTTTCAAATGAGTGCGGTTAACACTCATTTGGATGAATTCACCATGTTTTTCATTTAGCTGTGTGAAAAAGAAAATTACAATACTAACTGCTGGTAACGATGGTAAAGAATATTTTTGTTGAACCGTACAGTGCTTGGCATGTGGTAGAATGGCTCTCAATAATGTTGAGTCAAAGGATGAAGTATTAATAGTTTCTAATCAAGGTCTTTGATTCCTCAGCAACTAAACCTCTTTATTCTCAGTTGTTACCTTATAGAGAAATGCTGTCCAACAGAGATACAATTTAAGTCACATATGTATTAATTTTATATCTGTCAGTATATCCACACTTGAAAAAGTAAAAAGAAGCAGTTGAAATTACTTTAATAATATATTTCATTTAATTCAACATGTCAAAATATTAGCATTTCAATATATAATAAATGTAATATTTATTAAAGAGATATTTTACACTCTTCTTTCCTATGAAGTCTTTGAAATTCTGGTGCGCATTTTATAAAAGCACATTTCAACTCATGTGACAAATTTTCATCGGAAATACTTGATCTGCTTTTAGAGCTCAGAATATGTATAGTTGAGAAGATAGGTTCATGTGCCCAAGTTCATTTCCAACGTAATTTAAAATTTTCCAGTAACTGAATAAAATATCAGCTTATAAATTATTTAACATGAAATCAAATAAAAAAATTCAGCCCCTCAGTCACACTAGTAACATGTCAAGAGCTCAACAGCTACGTGTAGTTCATTCCTACTATATAGGACAGTGTAGTTCTACAGTTTTTTTGTTTGTTTGTTTGTTTTTGTTTTTTATTGGGGAATTGGGGGAAGGGGAACAGACAAGTTGCTGTCCTTTTGTTCTTCAGTCTAGTTGTGGAGGAC